ACTCCTACGGAAAGGAGGTTAGACAGCAGCAGAAGCGCAATGCGAAGGACGCCTTTGCCAAGCTGTTGGATGGTCTTTCAGGACCTCCTCTCACTATTCTCTGGGCTTCGGATGGAGGTAATGCCGAGAATCTAGCCAAGAGACTTGGACGACGTGGTAAGGCCCGTGGCTTGAAGACTCTGGCTATGTCCATGGAAGACTACCCGATCGAGGACTTGAACAACGAGGAAAACATTGTCCTTATTACCTCTACCGCCGGTCAGGGTGAATTCCCAATGAACGGACGTAACTTCTGGGAGGCTGTGAAGGGCTCGACAGATCTCGATCTCGCCGCTGTTAACTTCAGTGTGTTCGGTTTAGGTGATTCTCACTACTGGCCTCGCAAGCAGGACAAGATCTACTACAACAAGCCTGCGAAGGACTTGGACAAGAGAATGCGCGAGATTGGAGGAAAGCCTTTGGTTGATTGCGGACTTGGTGATGATCAGGATCCTGATGGATTCCAGACTGGTTACTCAGAGTGGGAACCGAAATTGTGGCAGGCTCTTGGTGTTGACAATGTCGACGGCCTCCCTGATGAGCCTCCCCCAATCACCAACGAGGATATCAAGCTCGCGTCCAACTTCCTTCGTGGTACCATTGAGGAGGGTCTGGCAGATGAGTCTACAGGCGCTATTTCGGCCAGCGATATGCAACTCACCAAGTTCCACGGTACTTACATGCAGGACGACAGAGATCTGCGGGACGAGCGCAAGGCCCAGGGTTTGGAGCCGGCTTATTCCTTCATGATCCGATGCCGTTTGCCTGGTGGTGTGGCGACTCCTAAGCAGTGGATCCAGATGGACGATATCAGCGACGAGTTCGGTAACCACACCATGAAGTTGACTACTCGCCAGACCTTCCAGTTCCACGGTGTCGTCAAGCGGGATCTTAAGAACACCATGCGGGCTATCAACAAGGCGTTGATGACCACCATTGCCGCCTGCGGTGATGTCAACCGTAACGTCATGTGTAGTTCCTTGCCTCAGCAATCCGCCTTCCACGACCAGGTCCAGGCCGTTGCGAAGCGTATCAGTGACCATCTCCTCCCTAGCACCACAGCTTACCACGAGATCTGGCTCCAAGATGAGAACGACAAGAAGGTCCAGGTTGCCGGTGACGCCGTTGTTGACCACGAGCCTTTGTACGGTCCCACCTACCTCCCCAGAAAGTTCAAGATCACCATTGCCGTTCCTCCCCACAACGACACCGACGTTTACGCCCACGACATTGGTCTAATCGCCATCAAGGGCGAGGACGGACAACTGGCTGGTTTCAACGTTCTCATCGGAGGAGGTATGGGTGTTACCCACAACAACAAGAAGACATACCCGCGTACTGGTAGCGCCATCGGCTTCGCAACCCCCGACCAAATCCACCTCATCTGCGAGAAAGTCATGCTTGTCCAGCGTGACCACGGAGACCGCAAGGACCGCAAGCACGCACGTCTGAAGTACACCGTCGACGACATGGGCGTGGAAGTGTACAAGGGTAAAGTTGAAGAGCTCCTCGGCTGGAAGCTCGAACCCTCTTGCGACTTCCACTTCGACAGCAACATCGACACGTTCGGCTGGCAAAAGGACGAGAACGGCAAGAACCACTTCACCTTCTTCATCGAGAACGGGCGTATCGAGGACACTCCTGAATTCCAGATGAAGACTGGTCTTCGAGAAATCGCGGGCGTTCACAAGGGTGAGTTCCGTCTCACCGGGAACCAGCATCTCATCCTCAGCAATGTCAACGACGAAGACCTCCCACAAATCAAGGACCTCATGGCGAAATACAAACTCGACAACTACGCCTTCACCGGTCTGCGTCTCTCCTCGTCTGCATGTGTCGCTTTCCCAACCTGCGGTCTCGCCATGGCAGAAAGTGAACGCTACCTCCCAGTGCTGATCTCAAAGGTTGAAGACGTCCTCGAGGAACACGGTCTGCGCCACGACTCGGTCGTCATGCGTATGACCGGATGTCCCAATGGTTGCGCGCGTCCCTGGTTGGCGGAGATCGCATTCGTTGGAAAGGCGTTCGGTGCTTACAACATGTACCTTGGAGGTGGATACCACGGACAGCGTCTCAACAAGTTGTATCGCAGCTCGATCAAGGAGGATGAGATCCTCGCCATCGTCAGGCCGCTGTTTAAACGCTATGCGCTTGAGAGGGAGGAGGGAGAACGTTTTGGAGACTTCTGTATCAGGATCGGTATCATCAAGCCCACGACGGAGGGGAAGACGTTCCATGATGATGTAAGCTTTTTCCGTGCCAGATGAGGGGGATGTGAGCTAACATGCGAAACAGGTTGCGGAAGAGGATGCAGAGGATGAATAGAGGGTTTGGACTGTAAAATTGGAAGCGGATATCCGGGGTTTTTTTCTTTAATCTTTTGGTGTACATTTTTTGGATTTTTTCTATTTTGGTTGCGTGGAATTTTGAGTCCTTTGATATGTAAATGAATGAATGGTTGTACATGATCTCCTCTGATTCTTTCTCCAGGCGATGGGTTGTATGTGAGATGCAGTTGCAAGCCTCTCGCTCTCTGACAACAGACGGCTGGTTCACGAGCGCTGTGAGTCTGTCCTCATCATGGAGTTCCAGGCCAAAAGAAACACCAGGGAGAAACATGTCTAGAAGAAGCTTGCTACAGAAATCTCGGAAACGCAAAAATAAAGTTAAAAAAAAGAAATCATCGACCCCGATGCGACTCGAACGCACAGTCTTTGGTGGTTTTAGAAACCGAAAACCAACGCCTTACCATTAGGCCACAGGGCCAGGACGATACTAAAACAAACTTTCAGCATTTATAATATGTTTGGTGGCAGCTATGGCAGTAGAAATATTGATGTCACTGTGCGGCAGCTACTGGTCCCCGTATCCAGGGCAACAGAGACAACGCATCCAAACAACAATCCTCCCACCTCCCTCCCAACCTCCCACAACCTCCCAATTGTACCACTCTTCCTCCTCCTCCAGCTTCAATCCACCTATACACCACATCCTCAAGCTTCACAAATAACTACACCCGAATTCCACAACCTACCACCACCACCACCTGACCTCCCACCTCCAATTCCTGCTGCCTGCCGGCAACCCCCCACAATGCCGGCACTCCCCTCCCCCGACTCCCTCACCACACCCATATACGAACGCACAACCACCACCTTTACCTCACTCTTCCGCCGGGCTACTAGCACCGGCGCATACCGCAAACCCGGCGACATTGGAGCCGGAGTCCTAGTAGTATTCTGTCTGATCGGTGCGTCTCTGGGTCTTCTCGCCTGGTGGCTATTTATCCGCCGATCCGGCTTCATCTGGCGATCCTCCGACTGGCAAGACTACAAAGCCTCGGTTCTCCGACGACCCGGTGAACGACCCGATGACGCTATCACCGTGTTCTCTGATGGCACTGCGCGGCGGGGCGGCGGATCATCGGTTGGTGCGAGAACCGTTGTTCTTGGGGAACTGGATACTACTTACACCAAGAGCCATGTTGAGAAGCTGTGGGGACCTCGCGAGCAGCCAGGGAAGGATTCGCCAAGGAAGAAGGGATTGCTGGGAACAGTGTGGAGTGATGTGAAAGGGAGTGTTTGGGGGAATCTCCGCGGTGGAGAACCGAGTGAGTCCGACACTGTTGTTCAGCGCGAGAAGTCATTGCAGCGAGAACGTTCGCGGCGGCGGAGGCATCACCATCGTCGTCGTCATAGTAGTAAGAGGAAGGAGTCTAGGAGGAAGGAAGAGGTCCAAAGCGAGGTTACAGAGTCGTTTGTGGATACGCAGCGTCCTGCACCACCGCTTACGGATATTACTGAGAGCAACATCCGCCGCCCCGCAAGAGCTTCTACAAGGGCTGGAAAAGCAACTGTTACCAGGGAACCTAGCTATGCAGTCGGTGACGACAGGACGGCTCGCTATCACCGCCATAAGAAAACACAGAGTGCTGTGACAGAGGAATCGAGTGATGAGTCTTCCGATTCTTCTTCCGATTCTTCTTCATCCGAGGAGAGTGATAGCGATGATGACGACGCCAGCAGCATCGACCAGAGTCAGCTCGGAATGGCGAAGGGGAATAAGGTCTACCACCACCCCATCAGTGCGGAGCGCGTGTTCTGGGGGAATGCGAGACCCGTGGAAAGGAATGGTGGTGGCGCTGGAGGAACGTTTGGAGGCGGTGCCCCCGCCGTTATGCCTGCGCCCAGAGGATATCGCGCCGCAAGCGTGGGTAGCTTGAGTAGTGTGGGAAGCGTGGGAAGTTCTCATGCGGGGAGGTAGGTGGGTTGTGGGTGTTTGGGGGGTGATGTGTAGGATTCGGAAGGGAGAAGGATGGAAGGGGCGTTATTGATTTATCTTTTGGGGTTGATGTGTCACGAATACTTTCACGTTTTGTTACGACGACGAAACATGATGATGGGAAAGGTAGGTAGGTGGGTGGAATGCTTTGTTTCGATACCATATCACGACTTTCGGGGGGATGAGGGGGAACTTACATAGTAAAACGAATTGAACCATGTTACTTATGCCGCATGAAAGAAAGACAGCTAGGAGAATGGAAGAGACACCATTCGCGCCGTGGCAGGTAGGCATCACGATATATGTTTCTGTTATGGAACCAATCATAACACTACCATAGCCAGCGGAGATATCACTATTGAAGCCTTGGAGGGGGGGCAAGGTCGAGTTGCTTGATACAATAAGTATAATCCCTTCTCCATACTTCCACCACCACAATCTCAATTCCTCGAATGTGTGTGTCTGTGTCACGAAATCTAGTAATTTCACATACACAGTGACTACATTCTGGTTAACGTCCAGCGTAAAACACCTAATCTGCATCATCATTTTTTTTTTCTTTGACGTCTTTTCAACTGTATCAACCGTCCCCTACAGTATGGGTCAAATACATCTTCCTCCTCCTCCCAGCCTCTCTACCTTTATGAAAGCTTGTGGATGTTCCACAAACATCGTCACCCGGCCCTGTGGCCTAATGGTAAGGCGTTGGTTTTCGGTTTGCCTCTTGTAAATCCACCAAAGATTGTGCGTTCGAGTCGCATCGGGGTCGACGATTTAGAAATTTAAATTTTGTTTTTGTCTTTGGGACAGACAAGATAGGTATGTACCTAGGTAGGTACCTTTTTACTACTGGGCGGCGATATCGTATTAAAATATAAAAGGGGCAGGATGGACAGCAAAGAGTAATAGATTTGGCGGGATCCACCACCTTGCAAAACACCCCGTTTCGTAGGTAACCTTGCTTGCTTACCTTTCTTATATCTATATTTTTGATTTTTTTCCCCCGTGTGCAGGTACATGCTATGACCTGGACCGGATTTTCTCAGGCCAAGGTGTGTTTTCTCGCCTCCCCTTCCCATTCTAGTGTGTATAAGTATACTCTCTCGTAAATCCACCACACAAGATCATGTTATCGATGCTTCTAGGAATGTGATCGGAAGGGGGTGAACAATGACAAATAATGAAGTGATGATGACAACATTATGATGGTGATGTTGCATGTGGGTTTCTCCATGATCGTGACAAAGAGGCGTGGAGATTTCGGAATTGGGGGATAGTGGACTGAGAGAAAGGTTTGAGCGGGGTCTAGATGGCCCTACTCTAGTATTTCCTTGGGGCCACGGAGGTAGCTATATAGGAAAGCCTAGGTTTTCGGTTATTTGACAAGCTCGGGAACTTCAACCGAGTTGTGGCGAATTATTTCTTCAACTCTGACTGGATGGAAGTACGAGTAGGTACATAGAATGAGGATTTCTGGGGGATTATGTGGAGAAGGGAAAAAAAAAAATACGAAATAGTGGGGGTATAACCGATTGCTAAGCTTAAGCGGGTACCGCATAATCTGATCTGATCATGATCTGCGGCTTATTATGATTGGTATTTTTCTCGAGCGAACAATTGGGTTGGATGAAAGACTCGGCTCCGGGTGCGGGCTTATTCCAACGAGCTTGTGCGGGCTTATTTTTATTGTGATGTTACAATTGTTTGGGTGGTTGTGGTGGAGTGAGCGTTGAGGTTGTGTGGTTCTACATTCCTTGGAACAATATTTCCGGCCGAGTTTCGTTCGCGCGTGTCGGCGGTGACCGGAGATCTAGAGTTGAGAAGGAAAATTCAACATTCCAACAGCTGAGCCGACGCGAGATATATAGATTAAAAAAACCTACTTAAGCAGCATCGGGTTTAGGGGGGGAAGAAAGAAAAAAAAAAAAAAAAAATGTTGGACGAATTAGATAAGATGCTCTCCGCGGGCTGAAGGAGAATCGAATGTTTGTTTGGAATTGAGTTGAGCTGATGAGGAATTTCGTTGCTTTTTTTCTACCACAGAGAGGGTGTGCGGACCTGCTTTCGGGGGAATCAGGTTCAGGGATTGTGGCAATATCCGGTATTGTGAAAGCCACAAAAAGCCAGGCCCCTCCTCCACCACTTTTCTCCTGCGTCCAAGTAACAAAAAAATATTTTTTTTATCCCGTGCGAACTGTCCTCCTCAGCTGGCTATTTTACTCTAGAAAAAGGTCGTTGTGTTTCGTCGCAATCGTGTCTCCCCTTCGTCAGCTTAGATTTCCACTTCCACCGTCATTCGTTTCCATCCGTCGTCTTTGTTGTTGCCGTCGTTTTCTACTTGCACACACCATGGGTAAGAGCCCGCCAGTTTCCCTTAGTTTCGGCCCGCGGGAGAGTCACAACAAAATTTCTGACCTTACTACTACTCTAAAGCGGACGTTCTGCAAATAAACTCTCTCCACCACCATCAACTCGACCACCTCTCCCCTACACCACAAACCCCCTCCTCCTCCTCCTCCTCCTCCCGCGGATTCTTCACCATCCCCAGCACAGCAGCCCGCAAAATGGTTTCACCGTTCGCAATTCCAGAGGAGCCCACGAACATCCCTATCGCCGAGGTTGTCGCGCCCAGTGTCCCCACAGCCTCTACCCCTAATGGCAAGCACGCCACCGAGGCCGAAGTCGACGTACTAATCCAGAAGATGAAATCCCCGATCCTCGGGATTGACTTTACCCGGGCAGGCAAGACCAGTCGCGCACCTTCTCAACTCCTCAAAGTCGGCTTCAGTGATACCTCATTGCACCAGCTCGATGACTCCTCAGCCACGAACCTGATCCAGGGACAATGTTGCGGCGGGGGGTGTTGTCGTCTCCCCTCCGGCGCGCCTTCACCCGCAAGATCCCCTTCGCTCCCAACCTTCGACGTCCCAAACAACCCCGCCTTCCGCAGTCTAAACCTCAAGCTCTCGCCGTTATCCTCGCGAAGTCGCCTTTCAGGAATCACTCCACTACCCGTCAAGACGATCTCCTTCGAGCCTGCCACAGACCCGTCGATACAGCACGTCTCTACCGTGCGAACGCACCCACCGAAATTCGTCACTCCGCACCCGCCGTACGAAGTGTTCGCGGCAAAGATAGAAAACACGCGTGAGCTGACCAAGCCCGATGCGGCAAAGCGGACGTACCACTTTGATCTCGATGTGACGGATTACCCAGCCGAAGGTGAGGGTGTAGATTTCCGGGTTGGCGGGGCGATCGGGGTGCAGGCGCCAAACAACCATGATACTGTAGACGCGATTTTTGACCTTCTCGGGATTTGGGGGCCGGAGCGAGACGAGCCCATCATGCTGGTGACGGAAGGGGGAAGGTGGCCTACAATCTGGGGTGAGGAACAGGCTCGGAAGTTACTCACAACACGTCGAGAACTTCTCACCTGGACAGTGGATATCCAATCGTACCCACCGACCAAGAACCTTCTCCGTTTATTGGCAGAATACGCTACAGACGAAGATCAAAAAACAATCCTTCTCTATCTCTGTTCGAAACAAGGCCAAGCTGCTTTCTGCGAGTAAGTTTTTTCCCTCCCTCCCGTTATCAGATCCTTTTTTTTTTTTGATCCCAAAACCCTACTTATCAGATCAACTGATTAACCCTCCCCCCCTCAGACTACGCACAGGCCCGTACACAACCCTCGAACAACTCCTTTCCGCCTTCCCCTCCTCCCACCCCCCGCTCGACCACCTGCTATGTAACCTCTCAACCCTCATGCCCCGTTTCTACTCCCTCTCCAACGACCCCCACTTCTCCCGACACGCCCACCGCCGGACCATCGAAATCGCCGTAACAATTCACGAAAACCCCTCACGCTGGCGCCCAGGTAACCGCACCGGCGTCGGGTCCGGTTTCTTCGAACGTCAAGCCCAACGCTTTCTCTCCTCCCCCTCCTCACCAGTCACAATCCCCATGTTCCGCGGTCTCATGGCAAACCCTCTCGCCAAGGAATTCATCGCCGACGGGCCAATGCTGCTAATCGGCGCTGGAGTCGGCATCGCCCCATTCCGCGGGTTCGTGCAGCGGCGCCTACAAAACGCGAATTGCGTGAACAAAGTCTGGGTTCTCCAGGGTGTCCGCGATAGTCTTGTCGACGAGCTGTACTCGGGGGAATGGGGGGTGCATGATGAGAAGATCAAGAAGGTTGTTGAGTCCCGTGTAGGAACGGGGAGGTATGTACAGGATGAGGTACGTGCGCAGAAAAAGCTAGTGTGGAGTGTGATCAACGCGGTTGATGGGCGGGTGTTTGTTTGTGGGAGTAGTAAGGGGATGGGGGAGGGGGTTGAGGAGGCGCTTGTTGATGTTGCGGTGGAGATGGGGGGGTTGAGGAGGAGTGAGGCGAGGGAGTTTTGGAGGGTTAAGAAGGAGGGGGGGCAGTATATTGCTGTGAGTGACTCTTTCCTGGGAAGTTTGAGAGAAGGGGGGCTAATGGGGATTTATAGGAAACTTGGTGATGTGTGGTGAAATATACATATACCCGACTTTCTTTCGCTTTGGGGGTTTGTGGTTTGGGTTTGGGGGGGGGTTTTTTTTTTTTTCGTTCGTTGAGTGAGGTTGGCGTTTGGGTTTTTCTGTTCCTTTCTCTTTCTCTTTCTTTAAAACCCACATTTTCGCTGTTCCCTTTCCCTTTTCCATCATTACCTCGGGGGGTAATTGTAAGATGTTTATTGTGTGCGTGTGTGTAGAAGTTTTCCGCAAGCTCGCGAACCCCATAGAATTAGATCAGATCAGATAAATTAGACGTTTTGTTGGGCGGAGTTCCGTACGTTCGAAATTGTTGAATCATGACATCACTCAGCTCGACCAATAGTTGGGGGTAAACCCTTAAGCTTATCCCCCTTCACACCTCAACCCACCACAACCCACTACAACCCCCACACAACTTGGGGCAGTTTCGTGTGCATTTTCCTAGACATCGTCAATTCTCGAGTGCCTTTTGTGGCAGTCGACGCAATATTTACAATCGGGGCAGACAGACGACTATTGGACAAGCTTCCCAATCTGATGATGCAAGAGATCCTGCAGTTTAGAGGCGCTCACTGGAAACGGACGGACCTAGGAAGCCGGAGGAGAGCCAAGCCTGCTGGCTAGCCGCAATGTTCAAAGCAGCTGAAGACGGGCCAGGGAGAACCTTCGAATATGTCGAAACTGTTGATGTGCCTTCAACTGAGCTGACACACGCCCTGCAATTGGAAGAGGACGAACCTGGGAAGATGTATCATCTCGGACGAGAGCGGTCGTTACGAAATTATCGGACCCACCAACGTGGGAGACAACCATCGGACAAGTTTCCCAAACGTTGGTAATCAAGAAGACGAGAGAAAACAACGCAAGAAATCCTGCAGGGACGTTCTCCATTCTTGTGATTTTTCGTTTATGATCGTTCAGTGCTAACTCTTCATATAGAGACTCCGGGCTCAAGACAAGAAGCTGCGGGTCCAAGAAGAAAAAACTTCGAGCCCAAGACGAAAACTTCAAACAAGCTAGGATCAAAAAACTACCGATCACAGGGCGGGTGATTCTGGATGCTATTATCCTCACGATAGATCCAACTATGACGAGTAAACGACTGGACCGAGCAGCATTCTTTGCCGAAAACGGTGACGAATTCTTGGAGTAACTCTCGGCGATAATAATCCAAATTACAACAATTGCAGACGCATCGGTCCACAAGGTGCAGTTTGGCGCAGCGTTGTGGGCTGGATTCCAGTTACTGGT